GTTAGAAACACAAAGCCGTGTACATGGATCAATCATGGGAAGGCAAATCAAAGCCACCACCCTGGTGAGAATAATGCAAGTGGGCAAAAGGAGACCTGTTATCCGGATATATTACAGGTTTCGCTACACGCTTTATCAGTCCGAAAAGCCAGTCAAACAAAACAGTTTGCTCAGGATAGCTGGCTCTGTATAAGGCTGCCTCTGTATAAAGCACCCCTCACCAAAGAATCTTGGGAATTGTAGTTTACTCCTCACAGAGCTACAATACACAGCACCCTTAACAAACTGCATTTCCCAGGAGCTGGGTGTTGGTGGTTTAAAACTGCTTTAAATGTGCTGCATAGCTGTGTATACAGCCAAAGTCAGTTTCTGAAGGGTCGATGTGGTCTGCACCACAGTTTAACTGAAGGCTTGCCTCTTCTGTATGTTATTGGCACATGAGGAATGCATAGCCCATAAACGGCTCAGGACCACAATGCCTTAAGGACCGCCTCTTCCCACATGAAGCTACCCGGACCCTGAGATCATCTTCTGAGGCCCTCCTTCGTGTGCCTCCCCCCCCACCGAGAGGCCCAGAGGGTGGCAACACGAGAACAGGCCTTCTCTGTGGTGGCTCCCTGTATGTGGAATGCTCCCCCCAGGGAAGTTTGGCTGGCGCTTTCATTATACACCTTTAGGCACCAGGCAAAAACATTCCTTTTTAACCAAGGTTTTCGTTGATCTGATTTACATCCTATGCCCTTTTAAAATGTAGGGGTTTTGCGGGGGGAGGCTACTGGGTTGCTGTTTTCTATTTTTATTAGGTATTTTGTGGTTTTATATCTTGATTTTATTCTGTGAACAGCCCTGAGACCCCCAGGTGTAAAAGGTAAAGTTACCCCTGACCGTTAGGTCCAGTTGTGGATGACTCAGGGGTTGTGCGCTCATCTCGCTTTATAGGCCGAGCGAGCCGGCATTTGTCCACAGACAGCTTCCAGGTCATGTGGCCAGCATGACTAAGCCGCTTCTGGTGAACCAGAGCAGCGCACGGAAATGCCGTTTACCTTCCTGCCGAAGCGGTACCTATTTATCTACTTGCACTTTGATGTGCTTTTGAACTAGGTGGGCAGGAGCATGGACTGAGCAACAGGAGCTCACCCCGTCGCAGGGATTCAAACCGCCGACCTTCTGATCGGCAAGCCCTAGGCTCAGTGGTTTAGACCACAGAGCCACCTGCATCCCGTATAGGGAGGTATAATAATAATAATATTTTCTGTGCTTGGAAGTCTCCAATTTTCAGGTGTTGCTGGCCACATGGAATAGGCACATTTTTTTCAGGCTCAATACCCTTTTTAAATTGGACCTAGGAAACCACTTGTAGGCAGGTGAATTATAGCAGAACGGTCACTGAGCGACTATTGAGCCACAGGACTGTTCTCAGCGCATCCGTTAGTCTGAAATTTTGTATGTGTTATTTGTAGCTCATTCCACTTTTCAGATTATTCTATCAGCACCTGGGGCCTCGAGGGCTAAAAAGTATATGATACACAATTATCTGGACCTTTCCTGTGACCTCCATTTATGACGAGAATAAGAGTTGCTGTATTATTTTGCCCTGCATCAGAGGCAATATAGGAGTGAGTGCTGCAGTAAGGAACAATAATTATCCTCCCAGGCAACGTATGCCAGAAGTCACCAAGTGTAAACCTGTTAAATATATCCGAGGTAGCAAGGGGATCAAAATTCAGCAGAGATGAAATGTGTAGGTGCAGTAATGCCACTAGGCCAAATCCCTTTATCGAGTCAAGTGAGCCAAAACTTTACTTAAGAATGCTTCTTTTAGTAATCCTATTTGTATTTCTTCCTCTCCGTTCCATCTAAATCAGGAAACAGGCTTGACCAGTATCTGGGAGCATTCACAGTCTGGAAGAGTAAACTAGGGCTGGATCTACACACGGGAGGGGGGGGGAAAACGCTATAAATTAGTCATAAATCGTTATAACAAAAGGGGGAAAATCATATAGACCAGGCTTCCTCAACCTCGGCCCTCCAGATGTTTTTGGACTACAACTCCCATGATCCCTAGCTAGTAGGACCAGTGGTCGGGGATGATGGGAATTGTAGTCTCAAAAAAACATTTGGAGAGCCGAGGTTGGGGAAGCCTGGCATAGACAAAATTTTGTGCTCTACAGCACCATCTGGTGTCGCATGTTTATAACACAGTTATAGTGTTGTAACATGGCTAATGTAGCTGAGTCCTATGTATTAAATGCGTGTGAAACATGGAGCACTTATAAACTCCATCTCCAACTCCTCGGAAGATATCATCAATAGCGTCTTTGAAAATTTTTACACATCACGTGGGAAGACAGGTGAACTAATGACAGTGTACTGGAAGAAGCAAAGATCACCAGTGTCAAAACAATGATTCTTCAACAGCAGCTTGGTTGGACTGGTCGTGTTGTGTGGATGCCTGATTACTGTCTTCCAAAGCATCTACTCTATTCTGAACTTAAAAATGGAAAACGTTTAAAGACTAAAATCTGAAATTTGAAGGATGTTGGTGTTCGATTGTTGCGAAAAGAGCAATTGAGGTAGACTCGGTGCTTTTTTCTGGGGGGACGCAGGGGTACAAATACCCCTAAACATTTTGTGAATCTTTGGACTTTTGCCCATTTACTGTATTTATTCTTCCCAATTTGAACTATAACATGGTGATTTTCTTGAGTCAAAATGAGAGTACCCACAAACATTTTTTAAGAAAAAAAGCACTGGGTAAATGTGATCTAATTAAATGTGATCTAAATTGAATTCTCTCCCATCCCTACTCCTTACTGCATGTTGGTTGATTGGCAAAAGAGTTTCCCTCTTCCTGAATGGGTTTGAAACCTGCTTTCTTACCTACAACCTGCCCAGATAGTGGCACTGGCTTCAGGCTCCTCCCTCTTAGTCTTTGTGTTCCCCTTCTAGAAGGCTCCAGGAAGCAAGAGGTGAATAAAGCTAGAATTTGTTGGCCTTTTGTGTCATTGGCTCTGGCGCCACCTACTGTTAGCCTCCCTGCCCTCCATTCTACCAGCCTCAATGGGCACCAGCCTTCACCGACCAAAAGAGGGAATTCATTATCATACTACCTACTGAACAATCGTCAAACTGGTTATTACAATGGGCTTTCCGCCTTGCATAATTATATGGAAGCAGTCCTTTTGTATTTAAGCTGTGCCTCTTAAGATTCGATTCAGCTGCCTAGTTATAGAGAGAAATCAGATTATGAGGCTTTTTCAAATCTACAGGTACGTGGCACTGGTACTCCAATGGATACTGGCACTTCTTGGGTAATAGCAAGGTTTTAGAAATACCCCCTTGAGAAACTGCTACGGAAATGTTGCATCTAGTAGCTTCTCTGAAATCCTTTCGCCTCCTTTCACAAAGGAAAGCGCCCCTTGCAGCGGTGACACCTCGTGCCACGCACATTAGCAGCTCACCTCCTATGTGTGACATCTGACTGACATGTTGTCACGCACAGTCTGTGACTGGCACTGTGAATTTGCGCGTGCAGTTTATTTCAGGAAGAGGCTCGACAATTTGGCACTTCTGATTCCGTAGCAATGAACAGCCCTGCTTGCTGGCATGGTGGTGTTGTATATGAGAATATGAGATTTCGTTTCGCACGTCTCCTCTCCTCTGGTAAGAATCCGAACTAATTAAGCCAACAGCGACAACAAAAGCTGCGCTGCCGAGAAGGAACAAGAAATGCTCAAGCTCTCAGGGAAGAAAAGTCAGCAACCAGACTGTAAAATATAGCCCAGATTCGCACATTTGACACAGAAGGTGCTGCAGAGATTTTTATTTATCAAGATTTGTATGCCGCTGAATCAGAGAACAATTACACCCCCCAAAAAAAATCTCTAAGCATCGGTATTTGGAAATACCAATAAACTCAACAGTTTTAAAAACAAATAGACATAATGAAATTACATGTCTGTGTAGGTTAGCCTAAACAAAAAATGGTTTTGACAGGCATAAAAAACTGTAAAACATAATCTGGCAGGGAAGAACAGAAAGCCTATCTTTTTCACCACCCAGATAGCTCTAAGTGAGAATAGATCCCTCCATATCATATTGTGCATATGCTAACGATTTCAATTCTCCAAGTGCAGCCCTTTATATTTTATTATGCATAAGTTGCAATTAAAAAGTAACAAAATCTCAAAGCAGATTAGCAAGCAAGAAACCAGGTGTTATTGATTGATTGATTGATTGATTGATTGATTGATTGATTGATTTAGGCTTAATGTATACTGCTTAATATATAAAAATATATCTAAGCAGTTAACAGAAACAATAACGACAACCAGTTGTTAACAAAGCACACAATAGTTATCTAAATACACTCCTCAGCAAATCTAAATTATCATTTGTATCAAAAGCTAAGTAGTCTATTTGAAATTGCTCCTATCATTGTAAATGGCTACACTGAATCTTGTGCCTTCATATTCCAATGCATTGCAAAAAAGCTCCACTTTTCAATAACCTATTATATATCTCTGACAAAATTAACAAAGTGCATTAATTTCATGATATCCACAATGTTCCACATCTTCAATAGCCATTCCATTATTGATGGAGCCTCTCCTGCTTCCGCCACCAAATGATGAATTCTTGCTACAGTGATCATCTGGTCACTGATCATCAACTGCAATAGATTATCTAAGGGTGCTTTCAGATGACCTGTTTAATGAGCACTGCCCCGATTTGATTGGAGAGAGGTTAGACAACATTGGCTATTTAGCAAGGAGGTTAGAGATGGCATTGCATCAAGCAAGCGTCATCCCATGCTTTACGGTCACTTTCCTTATCTCAAAAAGCCTGATCTCTTGGGGAAGCAGGTTTGTGGCACAAAACTTCCAAATCGACTTCGTTTGTGCAATCTGAATTTCTTGGTATGTGATTGGATCCCATGTAGAAATAGCAACAGCCTGGAAGTGCCCAAACATGGCAAAACATAATGCAATAATGCAAACGTCTGGAAGTGGAATTTATGAGTCTTTATGTAACCAAAATGACAACATCCGTGTGCAAGAGGGAGGAGGTACCAGCAGGCTTGGGGAAACTGCTAGGTTTACAGAAGTTACAAAAAACCCACAAAACCTTAGGCGGGTGGGGAGCTGATATTGAAATCCAAGCAGGTGGGAAACAGTGGATGGAATCCTGATCTGGACACACTTCATATTCCAACAGACATCTCACTAATCATGGATATGTCCAATTCATGGGATTCCCCACCCTTTCTTAAAGGCGGTATATTAGGCCACCCAGTGTCAGGGACCTTCTCCTGAACCTTCCAGAAAAGAGGAAGGCAGTAGAAATCAGGGGTCAGCAAACATTTTAGCCGTGGGCCAGTCCACCATCCCTCAGACCATGTGGGGGGCCGGACTATATTTTGAAGAAGAAGAAAAATGAACAAATCCCTATGCCCCACAAATAACCCAGAGATGCATTTTAAATAAAAGCACACATTCTACTCATGTAAAAACACACTGATTCCCAGACCATCCTCGGGACGGATTGAGAAGATGATTGGGCCGCATCCGGTCCCCGGGCTTTAAGTTGCCTACCCCTGGTATAGATTTACAACAGTGGTTTGAGGGAGGTCAAAGCCTAGAGATAGATGAAGAGAAGAGCTGGGAAATAATGGGAGAAGAGGAGGGAGAGACAGAGCAGCCGGCTGACACGTCATCACTAGAAGGCATTCCAGACCCCGCTTCCACCAGACCCTAGTGAGCATTGAAAGTAGGAGAGCAAAGGGCTCAGAGACAAGTGGCCCTAAGCAGCCACTTTAAAGGGGGCTGCTGCTGATGATGATGAATGAGGAGACAAGGGGAGGGGTGGAAATTACTCATAGCAATGGCACCAAAGCAAGAGACTGCTTTTCTAAGCCTCTCTCTGTGAATATTTAATAAAAGACTTTGGTAAGAACTGTTTTTCTGTTCCTGGCAGCCCACCGTGGGAGAGAGGATCAGATTCACTAATGCCTGAGACCCAGGTCTCTGCATGTTTAGGTGCTTGTGGCATTCGTATGGAGCCCCCGGTCATTTCACAAACTATTGACCCGTACACCACTAATCCGCTGCCACCAACCAGGTTCTCCCTGGTATATCACTTAGTCGCAGTCAGGTCCTCAAGTTAACAACGAAAATTGTAGTTTATTGCAAGCACAAATAAACTTTAAATGCATTCGATACGCTGTTACCCTTTACCCTCTTTGTCTTATTTTATCCTGTCTCTAACTCTTCTACCTCCCCTCACACAAGAACCAACTGCACTAACTGTCTCTCTATTTCCATCTGTCTTCCAACTGCTTTCCTAACTGCTTTTTCCCCAACTGCTTTTCCCCAACTGTTGGAAAGGCAGTTTGGCCCTGACGCTATAGCAGCATCAGAAACACCCTTGCTGCTACAAGATTTAATTTCTGCAACAAAAACAAAGAACTCTACACTTGCACTATATAAAACCCTACTCAACAGAAAGAAGTATGATTTAGAATATTATAGACAAAAATGGAGTGAAGAGTTAGGGGTACAGATAACAAATGATATATGAGAGTCAAGTATAAAATCAACAGAAATAGCTTCTATGGATCTAAGACTAAGTTTTATTCAGCAGAAAATAATATTTAGAGTCCATTGGACTCCAGCAAAACTTTACCAGAAGAAAATAACAAATGCAGACAACTGCTGGAGATGTGGAAGTAAAAATGAAAACTTAGTACATTTGATGATTAACTGCCCGATGATAAGATCATTTTGGTGCGAGGTGAGGATATATATAGCAAGAGTAATAAAAAGAAATTGTTATTTAGGGGATTTGAATCTAATTCTAAATTATATACTGGAAACGTGGGAGATTACAAGGGATCAAAAAAAATGGATGTACCGTGCCATATTAGAAGCAAAAAAAAATTGTTTTGATGAATTGGAAGAGCCCATTGAGCACATGGATTGACAATATGGACAGACTAGTTACATACGAATGAATTGCATATCGACGCAAATTAAGAATGGATAAATATGAAGAAATCTGGAAGGAATACTTAAGCGATAAGGCGGAAAGTGGTGGGAAGCAGGGGGAGGAGAGGTGGGGAAATATTGTTAAAAAGGTGTAGTTATAGGTATATAACTCTGGTTTTTCTATTGGTCTACCTATTAACCCTTTCTCTCCCCCTGTACAGACATTTCCAAAAGAATGGGCAAACGCCACATCGCTCATGTGAAGGGTTCAGTTAAGGCTTGAAGCTATTTTCGGTGATTTAGGGGATGGGCTTGCACCATTGCAGTGTAGCGGAGTGTATAAACCAGGGCATAAACTACGTAGGGCCAAGGATAATTATAAGTGTAAGCTATTATGTAAATTAAAGAATCCATATCTTTTTCTCCTACCTACAGGCTTAAGTGGGAAGAAATTTCTAGAATAAAAAGTAAACATTTCAAGAGACACCAGAGCTGTCTATTGAAGTGCGTTTTTTCCCTTTTCTTTTAAAGGAAGACTAACCAGATATCTGTGAGGTCATATCAGTTTATGGTTATATGAAAGATGTAAACATCAAACAAAGCCAGGGAACTGTTTAGCCTGGTTCAAAGAGGTATAATTAGAAATAATGGGGCGAAACTGAACAAAGGAAGATTAAGGTTGACTCTCCAGGCAACAGTTCTAACAGTGAGATCTAATAGACTGTGAAATTCTTTCTCGAAGAGGTGGTGGAGATCTCCTGAAAGATTTAAACATCCACTGGACAAAGTACTTCAGAATGTAACACTAAGGGAGCAGAAGAGAAGGCCTGTTTTTTATCTTGGATGTTTAAAACCGTTTTCCGGATAGCTTCAGTTGCTGCATCTGCCACTTAGGATCACATGGGTAATATTTATATTAGAAGAGTTATTGTGTTTTGAGGAGATACTTTGTGGCATGGCAGCTGTTTCTATGGGAAAGTGAACACTGGAAGCATATTTGAGCAATAGTTTAAATGTCTGCAAGCAGGGTGGTGATTCAGCCCTGTGAAAATCACCCCCCCAAACCAGTGGTTCCTGTAAGAGTATTCAGGCGGAGCTCAGAATCGCTGTTGTACTTTCTGTGGGGATGATTAGGGAGGCAAGAGAGGATATATTATTTAATAATATCCTTCCAAACTTGCGCTAGCAAGTTCCATATTCTAGCAGAGTTCCAAACATCCCCCTTTTTAGATTACGCAGAATCTAAAATTTTTAGAACAACAACTACCAGACTTTTATAAGACATTTGAAGGCAGCCCTGTATGGGGAAGCTTTTAATGTTTGATGCATTACTGTATTTTAATATTTTGTTGGAAGCCACCCAGAGTGGCTGGGGAAGCCCAGCCAGATGGTGGGGTATAAATAAATAATAATAATAATAATAATTATTATTATTATTATCATCATCATCAGCTTGTTGCTGACTCATCTGAGTCTTACTATTAAAGATTCCTTCCTGGTAAAATCCCTTGCCTTTCCCTCTTAAAAAGAATAAACACAGGAATCTGATTAACGTTAATATAAAAAATAGTTTACTCCCAGATTCATTCAGGTTCGCAGATATATCCCTAGGCAAGCTTAGGTTACTTAACAACTAGAACTATTCCATAAAGAAGTTAGTCCCAAGTGACTGCGGCCAAGCAGTCATTTCTCCATACACACAGCAACATCCAAAATGGAGAAGACACACTGATCAGAACATGGCGGCCGTGACGCACTACGTAAGTTAATAATGCAGAGTTTTTAAGTGAAAGAATAAGAGCTTTACTGAGTTAAACTTCTTCATAAACAACGTTGACTGAGATTACATACTGACTCTGCTCATAACTGAGGCAGACTGACTCTGACTGAAATATTACAGAGAACACAGAGAGAAAATGGCTGCTACTTATAAGGAGAATGAGCCACATGTCAGAGTGACTCAGCAGCTAGCAGTTAGGCCTGAATACCGTATTTTTCGCCCTATAGGACGCACCGTCCTATAAGGTGCACCTAGTTTTTTGGGGGGGAAATAAAGGGGGGGAAATTATTTCCCCCCCAGGCGCAGGGCTGGGGCAGGGGAAGCCCGAGCTTCCCCCGACCCCAGCCCCCAAACAGGCAGTTCTCTGCAAGCCGTGGGAGCCCAGCGCTGGCTCCCGCTGCTTGCGGAGACGTCCACGAAGCCTGGAGAGTGAGAGGGGTTGGTGCGCACCGACCCCTCTCGCTCTCCAGGCTTCAGCGTAAGCCTGCATTCGCCCCATAGGACGCACACACATTTCCCCTTCATTTTTGGAGGGGGAAAAGTGCGTCCTATAGGGCAAAAAATACGGTAACTTTAGTAGGCCCAAATGATTGTGCAGTCCCAGCTCTTCCCAGCCTGCTTTGCTGCTTCTGCTCTCATGTGTCATTGTCGTATGACAGGCCATGTGCTCCTCCATGCTAGTATAACAGACTACACCCTCTTCAAGTCACATGTCTACTGTAGGAATGTTGTACAGTGCATAGCTGTCAACTTACAGATTTGAAAATAAGGGACCAACAGCCTTGAAAATAAGGGACCAGCAGCCAAAATAAGGGACCTGCAGCCTCACCTGTTCCAGGCACTCCAGTCTTCCTGTCCTCCTGCAGTCTGGTCAAACTCATGCTGGTAGCTTCGAGAACACTGTCCAACCAACTTTGTAACCAGAGGTTCAACTGAATAGAATCTGAATCACATGCACCACAAGGCCTATGCAGCCTCAACTTAAGATGGCTCCCCGGCCTGGCTTTGCACTGCAAAGTTTGCAACAGCACGTGCAACAAAATGGCGCCCAGCATTCAAAAAACCCCTCAGCTTGCATTAACTAGCCACACACACACAGCCTCCCCCCTCGCCACGAGATCGCCAGTCACCCACCATTTTAGTCAACCAGCTTCTTTCTTTCCCCCCATAAGTCAATCGAAGGAGCCTCCAAAACAAATTCAAAAGCCCCCCTCCCACGAGATCTCCTTTCCTTTCCCCCCACCATGTGCCCCCGCTCCAGACACACCTTTTCGCCAGCAAGGGTGAGTGGGCCGTCGATGACGTATCCATCCGATTCCGATCCGAGCACTCAGCACAGTTATGTTCAACTTCTGAGCCCCTCTGAGCCAAAGGCAGAAAGCCCAGCCAGCAGCCAAACGAAGCCTCACAGAAAACCACCGTCACCTCTCCGCTGGGAAGCGCTGAGCAAAGGCGAGTCCCCAGGCAACGCAGCCGATTTGATTGGCACAAGGCATGCAAGCTCCACCCCCCAGTCGTTCTTAGACTTCTTATTGGGTGAGCAACACAGCCAAGCAACACAGTTGGAGCTTCCCTCCTCCCTGGCCGGCAGGGAGGGAGGGAGAGGAGCTGCTTCCTTTGAAATTTAAGGGACATTGTTTAAGGGACATTTAAGGGACACCCATCAATAAGGGACAGCAGCGGGACATGGCACTGGAATAAGGGACTGTCCATTCAAATAAGGGACGCTTGACAGCTATGGTGAGAAGAGGCGTGGCTCCTACCTTGTCTTTAGGGTCTTGTGACCGAATCTGTTATGTACTGAAGTTCTCACCCTGGGCCAGCAGGGGGATACTCAGGTCCACATATGCAAATAAGGGATTGAAAGTGACGTTCAGTGATTGGATAGTTACAGAAAGTGGTTACTGTTGTGTTCTAGTGGAGCTCTATATAAACAGGCTGGCTGAACCCTTCAGTTCAGTTCTGTTCTGGCCTGTGAATAAACAAGAGCTGTTTGAAGAATCGCTTTGTCGTCTGATATGTTCACCCACAACTTAACAGAGTCAGTAAAGAGAGCCCAAGTTGAGATATAAATACAGAGAGGGCTGTATCTAATTTTAGTCACACTCTGAGTAGATCTATTGAAAATAATGGATCAATTAACTTCAGTGGTTAAATTCCCAGCACAAATTAGTTGGACACGATCCAGAGATCCTTCTTGTTTTTTGGGAGAGGGGGGAACATGCACATCTAAAGAGGAAACACTTTGTAAGTTATTAGGAGTGTCATATTAGACTTGAGAAATCATGCTGGGAACAGATTTTTGGTGCCTGACAGCTGCAGGATGCTCGAGGCAACTGGTGATAGCTCTGTACATCGGGAAATGTCAACAGTGTGGTATTAGCTAATGTACATCTGTAAGGAAGCTGATGGGAGCACAGCACATTGCCATGTTTACTTCCAGTCAGGCTGGGACTGGAGAAAGACAGGCAGACCAGGGCTGGAGAGGTATGGTGGTGACCAGCTGGGAGATTATGCCCATCTACTTACCGTAGCTGGATAAAAGCTACTTAGTGGGAGAAAACAGGTGGACTCACAGGAAGACGGGAGACGAACACACTTCTGGGGGCAGGGATCCAGTTTGCTGAAGGACACTTTTTGAGTCAAGCCCCACAGAAACCAGGGTCAAAGGGTTAGATTCTGGGACAAGGCACTCAGTGGTTTTGTTTTTGTTTTAATTTTATTTATGCTTTTCAGGTTTATACATTTCAATAATTTTACAATCATTTAAAACTTGACTTCCTTCCCACTCTTTCTGAGGTTCCTTAAATTCATTTTTAATATTTTAATATTTTCTGCACATCCAAATTAACTTAATTTGCTCATTTATTCATCTATTTTAAATATATACTCTTATTAAACTGTAGGTTATTACAATAACCCTGCCAATGTTCTTATCCGTTTACGGTTTATCTGTAAATATTCAATAGACCATTTCCATTCTTTTATTAAAAAAAGTTTGTTGTCTTGATTTCTTATTCTTCCTGTAAGTTTTGCCATTTCTGCATATTCCATAAGTTTTTGTATCCATTCTTCCTTTGCTGGGACTTCTGCTTCTTTCCATTTTGGGGCAAGTAACATTTTTGCTGCCGTAGTCACATACATAAACAAGTTCCTATACAGTTTAGGCAGTTCTGTCCCTAAAAGCTTCTGGTTTGTTTTTTTCTATGAGCGTTATTTTAAACATCCTTTTCAATTCATTACATATCATTTCCCAGTAAGCTTTAACCTTACTACAAGACCACCACATATGATTTATGAGCCGCATAAAAGAGGTGAGGAGGGAGAGGGAGGGAAGGAAGAAAATGGGGAGGGCAATTTACACAACGGGGGGGGGGAGGCCAGTGATGAACAGGGACATTCACAAAAGCCCCACCTCCATACTCTTTGACCTTCTCAAGTTAAGTGGGAAGGCCATAAGAGGGCTTTTATCAGCATTCATTTGGATGAAAGTAGAATTCTGCACCCCACTGGGCGCCCTTGTAAAGCAAGGCCCCTTGTTAGCATGGTGGCTTCTACTCACATCCAAGCAAATGTTCCAGACCTTCTCCGCTCAACATGGAAAGGTTGTATACAGTGGTACCTTGGTTCTCAAACTTAATCCGTTACGGCAGTCCGTTCCAAAACAAAAACATTCTAAAACCAAGGCACACTTTCCCATAGAAAGTAATGCAAAACGGATTTTCTTTTTTCATTACTTTTTTATTCAAAATTAAAACAAAACATATTATCCAGAAACATATCATCCTTATTTCCCCCTTTTTTCCTCCCCCCTCCCTCTGCCCACAGAACCCACCCACCCCCCGACTTCCCTCAGTTCCAGTCTTTGATTTCTCTAAAAATGCTGTTTTCTGCATGTTACACAGTTGTATAGATCCTCAAACTATTTAAGTAATAATTATCAATAAAGTTTGCGAATGTTTATTCAAAACCAGCCAAGGAGTCCAGTTCACTTTGTTGCGTCTTCAAATACTTTGTAAAGGGTTCCCATTCATCTTTAAAGTCTAAAACTCTAAAAACGGAAGCGCAACACTAAAAACGGACGCTCAGGACACGTTCTTCCAAAAAATATATATCGAGAACCGGAATGCTCACTTCCGGGTTTGTGACGTCCGGGTTCTAAGCTGTTCATGAACTAGGCTGTTCAAGAACCAAGGTACCACTGTATTTTAGACTGATTTCTGTAAATTAAGCAAAGGTTTCAGCAACACTATTCATGCATGTCTATTTTTATACCAGATTCAGGTAGGTAGCAGTGTTGGTCTGATGCAGTCAAAATTAAAAAAGTAAAAAAATTGACCAATAGCACCTTAGAGACC